GAAATCATGAAATTTGCAGGCAAGTGGTGGGATCTAGAAAAGATCATTCTGAGTGAAGTATCCCAGAAGGAGAAAGACAAACTTGGTATATACTCGCTTATATAGACCTACAAGACATGATAAACATAATGAAATCTACACACCTAAAGAAGATAATCAAGAAAGTGGACACAGGCGAAGGTGATTAATCCTCATTTAGAAAGACAAATGGGATGTGCATTGAACTTATGACAGGAGTCTACCAAAAAAGGCATCTGAAAGACTCTACCTAGCAGTGTTTCAAAGCAGACACTAAGACTCATAACCAAACCCTCGGCAGAGTGCAGGGAATCATATGAAAGAAGGAAAGTTAGTATGATATGGAAAGGATAGGAGCTCTACAAGGACCAAATATATCTGGGCACAGGGTCTTTTCTGAGACTGACACTCAACCAAGGACCATCTATGGATATAACCTAGAACTTCTGCTCGGATGTGGCCTGTGGTAGCTCAGTAACCAAGTAGTTTTCCAAAGTAAGGGGAACACGGACTATTTCTAACAGGATCTCAAGGGCAGGCTGTTTGACACCCCCCCCCCAGGGGAGGAGCAGTCTGTTAGGCCCAGAGGAGGACTTTGCAGCCAGCCCTGAAGATACCTGATAAAACAGGGTCAGATGAAAGGGGAGGAGGTCCTCCCCTATCAGGGGACTTGGAAAGGGGCAGGGAGGAGACCAGGGAGGGAATGAGGGAGCGGGATACAGCTGGGACACAGAGTTAGCAAAATGTAACTAAAAAGAAAAATAAAATTAAAAAAAAATAATAATAAATAAAAAAAAAGAAGATGGATGCATGACAAAGAGATGATAGTAGATAGATAGCTAGGTAGATGATAGATAGCTAGGTAGATGATAGATAGCTAGATAGATGATAGATAGATGGATAATTAGATAGATAGATAAATAGATAGATAGATAGATAGATAGATAGATAGATAGATAGATAGACAGATAACTTTGATGTAATTATGCTATACAGGGTGGTAATGCTTCCCCCAAAAGCCATAGACTCTGTGACAAAAACCCCAGTGGCAGGCATTGTAAGCCTTCCTTTGGGTTTGGCCAGGGGATCCAAGAGACTCCCAAAACAACACAGGCTTTGATGCTGCCCGTGTTTGCTTCCCAGAATTTTAAGGTTAAGACCTTGAAGTAACAACATACTTTGTGAACTTGGAGAAACTGGGCTGCAACTGACCTTAAAACCTCTATCCTGGGACATAGTATCAGAAAGTGGTATACAGGTTGCCAAGGTAAAGAAGAGATTAACAGTTCTTATTAGCTCTGAAGCAATATGAGCCACAACAAGGACTGACCTGGCAAAATATCCCCAACAGTGTAATAGTGGCATGTTTATTTTGTGAGTAACCAACTGGAATTAAGGCCTGCTTAATAGGAGGGAATTCAAAACTGGTACTGTAAACCTAGCCAACTACTCATGGCTGGAGAAATCATATGCCCTATAAAAGAACATATGACTGTCATTTTCCTAAGTTAACACAATTTCTAACTTTGTTCTAATTACCTGTTCTTATACCCACAGGTAAGTAGGTCTCACTCTTTACCAAAGAAGCTTTTTTTTTGGGTAGATGGTTACTATTAATAAATAATGACCCAAAATGTGGAGAACAAGTAAACATGGGTGCACAACCCCAACTGATATATTTACAATGCAACTCCTACACCTAAGGCTCAGGGAAAGTGGCAGAAGAGAGAACAGAAATATTTAACAGTCAGAGACGCAGGATATAGGCAGCAAGACAGTATTTCCTAGAACTGTTCGAGTAGCTGCATCCATGAAACTCCAAAAACCTGGCTGTGCAAACAATGACACCACTGCTCAACGTGACAAAGTGGACGAGAAACTTCAAAAGGCACCACTCCCAAGTGAAGAGCTACAAGGAATGAATGGCTGCTGAAAGAGAGTGGGTTTTCTCTAGGGACAACTCCCTGATAGATTGTGTCAACTTGACATAAGCTAAACTCCTCCTCTCATTAAGAAAATGTCTCCATAAGTTCAGGCTTGTAGGCAAGCCTGTAGGGCATTTTCTTAATTAGTGATTGATACGGAGGACCCAGCCCACTGTGGGTGTTGCCATCCCTGGGCTGGTGGTTCTGAGTTATGTAAGAAAGCAGGCTGAGCAAATCAAGGGGAGCAAGGCAGTAAGCAGTACCCCTCCATAGCTTTTGCATCAGCTCCTGCCTCCAGGTTCATTACTTGTTTGATTCCTGCCCTCACTGCTTTTGATGACAAACTATTATATGGGACTGGGAATGAAATAAACTCTTTCTTCCCCAATCATGGTGTTTCATCACTGCAATAGTAACCCTAAGACAGTTATCAAATCCCAAATGGTCAGCCCTAAATACATGTACATACAACCAATACTAAATGAACTCATTAAGGGGGTGTGTGTGTGTGTGTGTGTGTGCATGTGTCTGAGAGAGAGAGAGAGACAGACCCTGTGTGTGTGTGACAATAAAAAAAAAAGTGTGAATTTGAGATGGAATTGGGAGCATAGGAAAACTCTGGGGCAGGAGGAAGGTGAAAATGATATACATATAGGACTCATTTATGAAATCCTCAAAATAAAAAAAAAAACCCTACATTTAAAAAAATGTAGCAGCTGAAGAGGCAATGACAATATTACCCAGATCCCTGAGAAGGAAGTTTGACTCTGATTACACCTTTAATGATTTCCATCCATGAACTTCAACTTTTCTCTCACCTTCATTTTGCTAAAGATATGTAGCTTATATTTGCTCTACTAAAAATATAAGTACGTAATACAGTGTTATCAATTATAAGCATTGTGTTCATACAATAAATCTTTAGGGTATTTTTACCTTTGCAACAAAAATCCGTACTTGGCTCTTTGGCTTTTTGCCTCACCCCAGCCCTGGAAATCAATTCCCTACTCTCTGATTCTAATTACTAGAACTACCTTAGAGGTATCATATTAGTGATATCACATAGTATTTATGCTTCTTTATCTGTATTACCCTTATCAGAGTGCCCTCTTTGGGTAGACAAGAAAACCAGTGTCTAGCCCACTCAGAGCCACAAACTACGTAAGCAGCAGAATGAGAAAACTAACTATAAAAGTATATAAGCAATAAGATAAAATTCGGCACAAGAAGATAGCGCTGAAATAGTGTGAGAAAACAAAAGACTCTAGACTCTCAAAGATCTAAGGAGATACACACATAACTTTACCTTTTACGTCACAATAGTTACCAAAACCTTCCCACATTAAAAAAAAAAAATTAAGAATTCAAATGTTTGGAATTAACAAAGGTGAAAAGTATTCAGAAAGAAAAAATTTTCTAAAAGTATTAATATGTAATAATGACAGGAAAAAGTAATAATTAAAAATAATTTCTGCACTAAGTAATTCCTTACTCATCCTGGTGTGTGTTCACGCACAGTTTATGCATTCATTTGTGTTTAATTCATAAGCACTCAAAGATAATGAACCACATCCCCTTTAAAAGTTAAACCAAGCAATCATATGGGAAATTTTGAATATGAATTAAATTTTAAATTAAATAAATATGCATATACTGTCCTCATGGACATAATACATAATTCATTAAAACAGGTCAAAAATATATTGTGCTGCTTGGATATAATTTATTTTCAATTATCCTAGTCAGGGATGGAGCACTGTAAGTGTGGCTGATAAACTAATGATTTATCTGAAACTCATTATACAGAGCTTGTGTATATGATAAGTTCCTTTCCTGGCTGTAGATGGTTAGTTTAGTGTTCTTATAAGTAAAGAAACATCACTTGGACCAAAGTTCACATTCACACATAACTCGAATTTGGTAATCTAGTGATGAGTAACCAATTTAGACTTTAGTAAGCATGTGGGGGTTGTGTATTGTCAAATTAACTTTTTTTTCTACAAATTTCAAACAATGGACAAATAGAAAAGAAAACAATTGAAGGAAAGTAACTTACGATAATACTTGTTGGAACCTCACGAAGAGAATACTCTGCCTTATTAGGAAGTTCTTGATTGCCTGTTAGCTCATACACAGCAGGATAGGACAGCAGGTTCACCAGTGCAAGGAAGGACTGGGAGAGGGTAAGAGACATTGAAATAAGTCATTTTTATTTTCAATATTGCACAGAAAGTCATTAATGTGAATGTTACATTATAGCTGGATGTCTATGAGGGCTAGTTTGTTTTTTGTTTTTTTTTAATAAACCTATTATCAGTGTGAGGTATCTACTCAGAATAGGTTTAAAAAAAAAACAAAAATAGCAATAGTTTTAGAGCTTACAGTGCTAATATAACAACTGTTAAGGAGCACACTAAGAGTTAGAAAACACTTCAGAATGCTATGTAACTCCTGAAGTTAGATTCTGAGGAAAAATAGAAGGTTCCCTCTTTCTCATTCTTTAAACTATTATATCTAAGAAAATAAATGGAGGGGTACTCTAAGGCAAAATAATAAAGCCTATATATTCTCAGGCTTAGTCTATGAAATTATCTATTAACATATTCAATGAAAATCAAAACAACCTAGACAGTACAGATAATTTTCAAAAGCATGGCTGTCCTATGAAAAACAGCGCCTTTGTACTGCTCTAATGATATCAAGTTCACCTCTCCATTGAATTTGTAAGCCAAGTACATCTCTCCTCCACGGCACTAGTTCATGTACCAAACAGCAACTGGATATATTTCTCGGACAAATTTCATTCTCAGCTTCTAGCTTAAAAGCCCTCCATGGGAAGCCATGATTAGACAGCAGATATCCAAATTCTTCAGATGGCTTTTGGGTACTTGTCTCTCTTCTCCTCTGTCTCAACAGCCTCATTTCTCGTTTCTCATCATTCCCCAATATGAAGGCAAAACTTCTCTCTTCCCACGAAAGTGCTCCACCTGTCTCAATTGCACTAACTTCGAAAGTTTGTCACTTTCCAGCTGACTCTATTTTCTTCCCAAAGGTCAAAACTTATTACTTGTAAGCATCATGTGGTACCTAAAAGTTTGAAATTTTAAAATTTCAGTGGACTGAAAATTTGTGAATCACATTTTTCACTGTAAACAAGATCGAAATTTGAGAAAAATATAAAAACTATTTATTTGATTTCTCACTAACAGGTGAGGAACCTTTGTGACAAAGGCCTTGACTAATAACACATTTGTACAAGAACTAATCCCTATTTTCTCTTTTTCTGGCTACGGATTCTCTGCGAGTCAAGATATGGCCATCAGTTACTGTTGAACAGGGTCAGCCATTCTCCAGTCCTTATGTTTAAGTAGGAAAAGTAGAGTTCACTTCCCTTCCCTCATTTTATGCCCAATGGAATGCCATTTAACAAGTTACAGTAGTCATTACATTTACACTGCTCCATCCCTGACTAGGATAATTGGGAATAAATTATATCCAAGTACAATATATTTTCAACCTGTTTTAATGAAGTATGTATTGTATCCACGAGGATAGTAAATATATATATACAACATATGGTGCTTTGTAGCAAATTAGATCTCTGGATAAAGAATGAATGTGCATTAAGTTTAGCGTGTCCTTATTTCCCCGATCATGTACAGCCTCTTAAAACAAAGATCAACCAAATCTAACAACACAATCCAGGATTAAAATCTAGTATATTGGTGTAACAGTAAAATTTCCAAAGGATAAGTGTAATGGTTTAGTTAAAATTCACAAAACTTCCTTAGTTTAAGGAATACCACACAGAGATACTTTCACTGTATACTATCATTTTAAATGAGTACAGTAAAGAAGAGGGAGAAAGACTGGTTATCAGGGAAAGCATGTTAAAGAAATGTGCCTCCAAATAACTATGACAGGAACTACAGGGGAACTAGAACATTCATGGCCACCAACAAAACAATTGCATAAACAAATTAAGCAAGCAGGGGCTAAGTAGAAGGCTGATTTGTAGATCTCAACATAACATTTAAAAATTCACTTTCATATCCTGAGACTCTATCAAATGTGAAAATTAAAAATGCTTTAAACATTACATAATATTAATCCAGCAATATTTAGATATCATAATAAATTAATCTTTCTGTAGTAATGGATTACAAATAACAATTTATAAATTGAATAAATATCCATTTTGATAAGAAAGGGCAGATTTCTTTGTCAATCACATAGTAGCATACTGAGGGTTTCTTATTATTTACCTAGAATAGATCCACACATGTTTATGGAATCTCCTTTCTAAGAAATAAAATAATCCTCTCAGCATATATTTGTAGTATTTTCTGATATGCTACTCTAAGCAAATTAGGTAGAGATTCGGATGAAAAAAATCCAATGACTGTATTTGAAAACAAATAACCGAAAGATAATTTTAAAGAGACTTGAGAATTTTTCAATAGATTACTGTAAGAACAAACAAATCCATTTCTCGCTCAGTAGACATTTTTAAAGGCACTTAGCATATTATAAATCTGTAATGTATTAAGCATTCATGGGAATGAACATATTTTCAATACAATCATCAGTTCCCACAAAAGTATATTAAATGTGTTTCTGGAATCAGATATCATCCTAAAACTGAAATAGCGCCAAACTAGCGCCTACTAATCAGTGTTTGAGAACAACAAGGTTTTAATATAATAACACTAATGAAACTAGCTTAAGGTCTAGTATTTAAAATATTTTAATATTGGCATTTAAAGCTTAAAATCATTTAAAACAACAAACTTATGAACTAAAATTAAAGGATCATAATGACTATTCACTCAAAATATTTTAATGCCAGCTGCCTGTAGCAGCTCTGCCAGATGCCAATTAAAATATGAATGAAGCAACAGTACCTGCCATGAGGTCAGGCAAACACAATATGAGGTATTCCCTTCAGTACTGTATAGGGCCTGATGGTACTGGGATCTGGAGAGAGGCCAGAGGTGAAGAGGAGATTTACATTATAAGGCAGAGTGAGGGGGTGTGGGGATGTGGTTCAGAGAGCTTGCCTAGAAGGATGCAGAGATGTTCTTAGTTAGTAAGATCCATCCTCTACTTTAGGGAAAAGAGAACCGTGTTTTCAGAAAAGTAGTACAAATTATCCTTATAGTTTAGAAAGAATTCTCCAAAGGAAAATAATTTGAGTTGGGTAGACAGTAGTAGGAGGTATGCAATTACTTTTAATTTCAAAGTTTCAAGAGAGATAGAGTTAGTCCCATGACATCGGGACTGTTAGGAACAAATCAAAAGTGACCCAAGGTAATATGAAGCATGGAAGTATTGATCCATGGGGGAAAACATGCTTAGTATGCACAGCGTCCTCGGTTCACTCCCCAGCAACAAGAAGAAAATGGGGAGAAGCAGTTGTTTTCTGAATGGACGTAAAGTCCACTCCACAGGAGAAAACTCACGCCTGGTACTATAAACCTGGCCAAAACTCTGTGGCTGAGAAGTTGCATATTTCAAGGAGGAGCCTACCACTCTTATTTTGCCAAGTGGAAATCCTATCAAACTGACTTCTAAATATTTACTATTAGTTTTTCCTCTGTGTTTTAAGATATTTTTAAAAATTTTTCCTTGTGTGTCAGTACACGTGTTAGTGCATGCCATGAATGTGCAGGTGCCCACAAAAGGCAGAAAAGGACCCCAGATCCGCTGGAGTTAAAAGTAGTTGTAATCTATCTGGCATAGCCGCTAGGAATCACTCTTCAGTCCTCTAAAAGACCCATGCATTTTCTTTCTCAATATCTAACTTTTTAAATGTTTTCTTTAAGATTTATTTATTTTATTTATTTTCCTGATTGCATGTATGTGTGCCGTGTGTATGACTAGTGTGCTCTGAGGTCAGAGAAGGCATCAGATTACCTGAAACAGGGAGTTACAGTCATTCATGAACCACCAATGTGGGTGCTAGCAACCAAATCCAGGCCCTCTGGAAGAGCAGGAAGTGTTCTTAACCACTGAGCCATCTCCCCAGGCCCCTAACAATGCCTATCTCTGTGCCCATAGATTTGTGCTGCTCTTAGCCCACATCAAAGAAGCTTCTGCTTGCAGTGGACAGTGCTTAATACAGAAACTCACAATCAGTCAAAGTACAGGGAATAAATTTTTATGGATGCTCAGCCATACAGGAGATATCTACACCACACCCCCTACCCTCAAGACTTAGGGATCAATGCAGAAGAGAGGGCAGAAAATTTCTAAGTTCCAGAGGACGGCTCTGAACCAAGGACCTTCTGAACATGACAGGAATGCTACTTTCATGAACTCACACAAGCTGTAACTGCCTGCAATGAGAGCTACACAAGATCAAGCCAGTCAAAATTCCAGCATGGACTGGGGAGATGCTGATGGAGGCTGGGGAAGGGAGAGCCAAGTTTTCTTTATGGGTGTGATGTCTGGTAGGATGCCAATTCTCCAGTCATGCCCCCACGCCCATGCACACATGGGCAGCGCTAATTAAACTCATTGGGTTATAGAAGAAAAGAAAGGAAGGGCATGAAGTTTGGGGAGGAATGTGGTGAGAGCTGGGCTGGGGAAAGAGAAGAGGTAGGTATAATTAAAATACATTGTATACTTATATAAAACTCTCAACCAATAAATAAAATTGTATTTTTTAAAAACGTAACTGAGAAAATGCAAGTCTAAGAAGGAAAGAGGTCAATGAAGATGACATGTACAATCTCATCAACAAGGAGCAAGGAAGACTGTACTAATAATTTGATGTATAAATAATTTGTTGTCATGTGAACACTTCCTTTCTGCCAAGTAGTATCCTACCAGCATTTATGCATCTTATCTATTCCAATTGTCAGTATGACAGTATGATAGGCATCATTCCCATTCCGAGGAACTGCTGACAGCTGAGGACAAGCCTAATGGACTTTAAGAGTATACTATGTGGACATCTAAAGAAATCTTAAGCAATCACTTTAAGGACAAGGACCTTTTGTAAATAAAAGAGGGTACTGGCTTTAGATGAGAATCTTCTTTTACTGCCTTCTGACCTAAATATCTCTATTTTTTTTTCTAGTCTGTTGCATAAGACCTAAAAAAATGCTAAACAATGATAATCAAATTTAGTTTCAATATGTCACCATAGATATTATACAACCTAATTTT